CTAAGCCATTGCTTCACGGGCTTTTTCAGGGGGTCAACATTAAGTTTATGTTCCATGACATCGGGATCGATTCCCGTCAACTCTTCAGGGGAAAAAGCAAATATGTCTCTGAATTCTTTCAATAGCCCCACCAACTGTCGATGCAACTCATCTTCCAATTCTCCCCCTATTTTAGTGGTCTGCTCCTCTTTTTCCCCAATTTGAATTTCCATCAGTTCTCCGTGCGGCTTAAGGTCGCTCTCCCTTTGTCTCTTTTCATTTTACATAGACTTTTTCCCTTCCTTTTCTTCTGTTCGTTGGTTCGTTCTTACTGCTATCTGGTAACAGGTTCTTGACAGTCTCTGGTCTCCTCGGGCCTCCCCTACTTTATTTCCGACGGGGAACTTTAGCTTCATGTGGTAGGTCGACACCACCGCCTGAAATGCATTGAGCGCCGGCCTTCCTAGGATCACGTTATAAGCCGACTCGACGTCGACTACAACAAATGGCACCATCTTTACCTTCCTCAAGTCGCCTTCCCCGAGGACGACAACGAGCGTGGTTTCTCCTAGGGGGGCGACTTCCGAACCATTAAACCCAAAAAGGGAGGTGTGCAGGGGTGCAAGCTCGATGTCGAGTTCCATCGGTTTGAGACAATTGTAAAAGATCACATTCACCGAACTTCCCGTGTCGACAAATATTCTCTGCACTTCATAGCCTGATATATAAGCTGTGATCATTAGGGCATCGTTGTGAGGTCTCTCGACTTCTCCCGTGTCTGCTGGCCCAAAATTCATCACTAGACCGTTTTCCTCGACCTGTTGCACTTCAATTTTTCCACGGTGCCCTCGAGCATATGCTTTTCTGGCCCGATTTGAATCTCCATCAGTCGGTCCTCCGAATATCATGTGAATTATTCTTCTTTTTTGCGGGAGCTCCTCCTTGTCGGGTGTCCTCGCTCTCTTGCGGGGACTCTTGCTCCTCTCCCTTCGCCGACTGGTTCGATCTCGATCTTTGTAAACGAACTCTTTCAGATGGCTTGCTTTGATTAGTCTCTCGATCTCATTCTTCAGGTGCCGACATTCGTCGGTATTATGCCCGTAGTCCTTGTGGAATCGACAATACAGATCGCTTTTGGGATTTTTCGGTCTATCCTTCCTCGTCCGTGGCCACCTGACAACACTTTCGCGAATTTCTTTCTCCATCACTTCCAATATCCTTGCATTCGAGGCTGACAGGGGGGTATATTGAGTTGTCCTCCATCCCCTTGACCGCCCCTCCCTTTCTGACTTCGGGGATCCTTTCCTTTCTACCGTCGCGATTGGTTTCTTGTCCTTCTTCTCGTCCCGAGACTCAGCTTTTGCTTTAGCTGCTTGCAAAAAGTCGGCTTCGGCTTCCTCGACATTCATGTACTTGGCGCACCTTCCCAACACCTCATCGAACATCCTCCCGGGTCGTTTTGCCAAGGAGTTTCTGCATAATCCCGGGAGTAATCCTCGAGTGAGTCCTCCCGACTTAATTTCTTCAGTGGCCGAGGGGACGTCGACGCACGCCCGTGTGTACCTCGCCACATAATCCCTTAATGTTTCCCCTTCCTTCTGTTGCATACCTATCAAGGTAAGGTAAGACTTTTCTTGGGCCTTTACACTTGCGAATTGATTCAGAAAACTTGAACTAAATCCGTCAAAGTCCCTGACGGCTACCAGGGGCAATTGATGAAACCAATCTTGCGCAGGTCCTCGCAGAGTCGTCAGGAACGCTCGACATTGAACGGGATCGTTGTAGCGGTGCAACACCGCCATGTTTTCAAAACTCCTTAGATGTCGAGAGGGGTCAGTCGGCCCGTCGTACCAGATGTTAAGTTCTCTAAACCCCTGAGGCAAGTCAGCATCTAGAATGTGTTGTGAAAAAGGATGTCCCCTCGAGCTTCCTGTTTTTCTCCCCTCGACTCGAGCCTGCAAATCTCACACCTGTGCTAACAACTG